GATAATCCGTTCCCTTGCCTTTTCCAGTTTCTAGAGGCATTCCTCGGCTCATGCCCCCACATCACTCTGACCCCTGCTTTCACTGTCACATCTCCTTTACTGCCTCTAACCCTCCTGCCTCCCTCTTATAAGGACCATTGTGATTACATCTGACCCAACCCGAATAGTCCAGGATCATCTTCCCATCTCAGGATCTTTAACAACTTCACAGGTTTTAGGGATTAGGATGTGAATATCTTTGGGGGCCATTATTCTGCTTACCATAATGCATGAAATGTCTCAAAAGCATATGCAAGTAACTTGAAATATTGGTTGCCCCTGAGGAGGGGAATTGGATGGCTAGGGATCAAGTGTTAGAAGAAGGTTTTTCCTTGTGGCCTTCTATCTTTGTGAATATGTTTATTTGCACACACATATTCTCCAGGTAATTATTAAAGCCCTCTGAAGTCACGTGCTTCAAGTCCACAGGTCTATTGAAGATCCTAGGCTTGGCTGAACAATGATAAAGATTTCTCAGTTTATCGTTTCTTTATTTTAGCCAGCATCAGAATAGTTCCTAGGTAGCTTATTTGCATTCAATTCAAAACACATTTACTGAGGGCCCACTGGCACTCTGCTTCACCCAGTAGGATGTGGAGAGATGCATTGGCCACACTGAGTTACCTTCCAAGCAGTGTTGTCCCATTCTGCAGTGATGGAAATGTTCTCTGTCTGCACTATCCAGGGTGGTAGCCGCTAGCCACATATGATATTGAGCGCTTGAAATGTGGCTAGTGCGACTGAGGGACTGAATTTTAAATTTTATTTACTTTCGATTAATTAAATTTTAAATAGCCACATGTGGCTAGAGGCTACCATATTGCACAGGGCAGCTTTAAGGGAAAATGTAATGAATTCTGAGGCAAGTGACTCCTCCCCGGATAGCCAGGCCCTAATATAACAATCAGTTGTATTCCAAAACTTTATGTTCCTTGTTTGCAGCTGGATTTGTTCCTCCTGAGAAAGATTGCAGTGATAGGGTTGAATTTCTAGGAACCACTAGAAGAGGATTTGTTGCTATATTATGCCATGCTGTGGCATGTATCTCGTCAATCTCATGGCTTTGAGGCTTTAGATGTTACTGAAGTTGTTTCTATGGGAAAACGTATACTGAGTTTCCTCTCTTTTGGTTGGAAGAGGCATCTTTTTTCAGGGAGACCTAGGGACAAGTCCTGTATGCTTTCCAAAGTGGGCACATTTATTCCCTTGGAAAGCACTCCCATCCTCGCAACCCCCTCTCTTACCTATCTCCCCACCTCTCGTGAAGGGCTGTCAGAGCAGCAGATGCCCAAATCCTGGGGCCTGCCTTTGTACAGCCTTTGTTTAAGGAGGTTAAAGCACAACCAGGAGAAGTTTGTGCTGGCATTTGGGTCCGAGACTGAAACGAGGGCGGCTGCTGTGGGTGTCTCCTGGTCCGCTGTGATCCCCGTGTCTGCGTAGTGGGAAGTGTGGTGTTGGACCCCGCTTTATAGCAGGCTCCCAGTGCAGGCGGACTATCGCAGTGTCAGCACATAAATGCCCCCTTCACTATGAGTAACCTTTCCCTCCCCTTTCTGGATTTTAACCCTCACCCTTTTGTCCTGGAGGGAGGCTGTGTGTAGACATTGTTTCATCATTTAATTAATCTCCATTTGCTGTCACATAGTCAGCCAACAGTGGCATTTGCCTGCCTGTTAATTGAAAGTCTTTTTTTTTTCCATTGTCACTAATGGGAACTGCTGAATGACTCATTCTGCCACCGTCAGCCCTCTAGGGCTATTCACCACAATAGGCTTGACCAGCCAGATTAAAGTGTTCGTAACCAAGTTGCCTGTGTCATCATTTCAGGATCTGGGTCTCTGTCAGAGTTTTTGAGTTAACATAGCCAGATGAGCTTAGGTAGTTCATTCTGGAGTTGAGCGGTTGGATTCAGGGTTCCTTTGTGACTCTGGTAGCACCATTGCAGTGTTGCTTTTGTTACAAGTGTCAGATGCTCCGTGACAAGTTGATGTTGTTGTCTCCTTTCTTTTTTTGCTGTATCTCACAGGTGCTTGTTTCACGTACCTGCTCTGGAATAGTGCCTATTGGAAGGTGGCCACTTAGTCTTTGTGGAATAAATGAATATGTGTATAAGTCAGAACCCTAGGAACAAGGCAAAAGGCTATAATAGGGATTCATTCCACTTCAGGGTGCATGAAAATCACGTGGGAAGCTTATTTAAAATGCATTGTCTCTGCCCCAGCCCTATAGAGTCTGATTTAGCTTTTCGAAAAGGGGGCCTAGGTCCGTGCATTTTAAGCAAACCCTCAGGTGATAACTTTTCAGGTAATTAGCATCCAGAAAGCAGTGTCCTAGGACTTTAAGGAGAGCAGAAAGTTCAAAAGGTTTCATGTGGGATATACCTGAAAAAAACAAACCAAACGCATTGCCATAGAGTCGATTCCAACTCATAGCGACCCTATAGGACAGAGTAGAACTGCCCCATAGGGTTTCCAAGGAACGGCTGGTGGATTCGAATGGCTGACCTTTTGGTTAGCAGCCAAGCTCTTAACCACTGAGCCACCAGGGCTCCAGGTAGGACATATAGGAAACCACTTTTAATGCATTCCATTCCCTTTTTAGAGAAGGCAAGTAGGTTTCATCTAACAAGCAGCTCAGATTAGTTACTAGGGACTATGATGTTGAGGAAGATTCAGCTTGCGGGGGAGGTCCACGATGATTAATTAGTGTTTAATAATCAGCAGTTAATTAATCTGTTTATTAACTGCTTATTAATCCTTGGATACAGATGGGAGTGGTGGCACGTGTACCAAGCTATCTGTCATCTAGGTGGCCAAGACGCAGGCCCTAGAGACCTCGGCTGGCACAGACAGTCACAAGGCAGGCAGGCCAAGATGCAGACTGTGATAAATCATTATAATCATTGGCTACTTTCCCTTTTAAGATTTTTGGAGTAGATGTAGGAAGCAGCAGATGACCTAGGAGAGGCTTTGTGCATAGCGGTGAGAGCACAGATTCTGGCATCAGATTGAATCCTGCCTTACCACCTAGCCTATGGGACAGTTCTACTCTGTCCTGTAGGGTCGCTATGAGTCAGAATGGACTCGACAGCAACAGGTTTGGTTTTTTTGGCTTTTTTGGGTTTTACCACCTAGCAGTTGAGTAACGTCGGGCAACTTAACTCTCTGTGCCTTAGTTTCTTCGTCTGTAAAATGGGAATAAATAATAGTACCTACCTCATAAGGAGGTTATGGGGATTGAATGAGGTAAACTATATAAAGCCTTAGAACAGTGCCTGGCATATGTACTAGCTGTTATTTTTATTATGAGCTCATTGTGATTTGTGGGTACAAATACATTTTCAGCTTTTTAAAGAAGGCTCTTTTGGTTCCAGGCTGTGAAATTCACACAAAGGAAGGTGTACCAGATGCATCAGAACATCACCACAAGAACAAAGTGTCATATTTACTTATACACTCTTTCCTCTTGTAAAAGAAAAGGGGTCATAAAATGTATGAGTCAGTTTATGCCTCTGACAGCTAATCTATGCCAGTTGAGCTGAAATAACAAATGTATAAGTGTTGATTTTTGTTTGAAGGTTTGAAAAAGGAGAGTTCAGTTGGATTTTTGCAAGGGGAGAGAGGGTACTAACTGGGGCTTAATTTCAGGGGGAGGCTGCTAGCAATAATTGTTGTTGTTGTGTGCCATTGAGTCAATTCCACTTATAGTGACCCTATAGGACAGAGATGAACTGTCCCATAGGGTTTCCTAGGCTGTAATCCTTACAGGACAGACTGCCCCATCTTTCTCTGGCAGAGCTCCAGGGCGGGTTCAAACCTCTGACCTTTCAGTTAGCAGCCGAGCACTTAACCATTGCACCACTAGGGCTCCTTTCTGATAGTATTAACACTAAAGTGAATACTCACGTTTCCGAGCTGGCTGGGATGGCTTTCCTGTTCAGTCGAACAAGCTGCTTTGCTGCTTAGCAAATCCTCCCAGGGCAGCTCCAGCCTAGGACAAGGTCTCCTGAAGCCCACAAAGCCCGTGTGAGACTCTTGCTTCCCAACTATCTTATTGGTTTTCCCCTGAGTGGTATTTATTAAGCTTCTGTCTACCTTCAGGACAAGGGAGCATTTCATTCTGTTGTGCATCGGGTCGCCATGAGTTGGGAACCTGCTCGAAGGCAGCTAACAACAACATGCTTAGCATTGTACTGGGTGTTGTGGGGGGTAAAAAAGAAGTGGCGTATTCCATAGATACTTTAAGCTCTGGTTAAGTAGATATGCCAAACACCTAACAAATAAAATCTATCCTTAAGCTGTGCACTGTCTGTGAGGGGGCCACAGAGCTACATAGCTCAAGGACCTTGGATGCTCCTTTTGATTTTTACTACAGACAACAGGGTGGCTAAGACGTGTAATCAACTACAACAAGTGCAGTATGTGATGAGGGCCACGTGGGTCCCAGAGCAGTTCAAAGGGAGAACATATTGCAATACTGGAGGAGTAAGGAAAGGCAGTGTCAGACTTGGGCTGAAAGCATGGAACAGTTTTCAGAAAGGAGGGATTTCTGGGCTGCAAACAGAGTATGTCCAGAGAGTGACAAGTAGACTGTTTTGGTGGAGCGTAGAGTCCACAGGAGGGCTGAGGCTGGGATGGTAGTAGCCTTTCAATGCCAGGTGTGGTGGGAGATATTGAAGGGCGGGTTTGGTTTTTGGTGAGTGAAAGAGTGACAAGACTAGTACAGAGCAGAAGTAAGATTGAGCCATGGTAGAGTTGGGATGCATTAGAGAGAAGAGAGAGAAGGACAGGAGAGGGGAGGGGGAGACAGGAGTGAGTACAGCACTGAACTCTTGACCTAGGTGTACTGGAAATAGACCTGAAGAATCGAGCCTTGAGAGACATTTTGAAGAGACTAATTCCAGGAGTTATCTGTCTTGATATTTTCTTATCCAGCAGTCAACCTCTTCTTGTGTTTTACAGATTCAGCCAGTTATTGAGCAAACCTTTCCTTTTTCTAAAGTTCCAGAAGCCTTCCTGAAGGTAGAAGGAGGACATGCACGAGGAAAGACCGTAATTAATGTAGTTTAAATAAACACTCAATTTAGTGATTGTTGACTCTGTTATTTGGGGTCTACATGTGGGCTCCAGGAAACCCTGATTGCGTAGTGGTTAAAGAGCTATGGCTGCTAACCAAAAGGTTGGCAGTTCGTATCCACTAGGCACTCCTTAGAAACCCTGTAAGGCATTTCTACTCTATCCTATAAGGTCGCTATGAGTTGGAATCAACTCGACGGCAACGGGTTTGGTTTGGTTTTGGTTTGTGGGCTTGAACTTTTTTCTAGCATCCCTTTTCGACCATTTTCTCCAGGTTAGCCTATAAATTCCATTAAGTTAAAAAAAAAAAAAAACCTTTTTTTGCCATAATTTTCTCTCTTCTGAACTGAGCACAGAGATGGATTCTTCAACCACACTTCACCCTCTCTGCTTGGGACAAGTTCACCCTGCCTCACCTCAAGTGCTTTTTGGTGTAACCTCTGCCCCTGATATATCCATGCAGTCATAGGTGTTGAGAAGCCCTCTGTGCCAAGCACAGGGATACACAAATATATACGACATGACATGAAAATATCAGCACTGGTACTTGTCTATAAAAGTTAGTGATAGTTGTGTAATGATGTATTTTTTTAATACTGTTCTTCTTTCACACCAGCTTTACAGCTTGCTATGGCATCTTCTAATAGCTCAAACTCTATTTTATTATCCTCATGTTCGTGAGATACTAAAACTTTGGGAATATGGGTAGATGGCAGCAGGAGTTTATTTAAAGCTAGTTTTGTCTTGAATAAATCAACAGGCACTCTCCTAACTGGCCAAGGTTTCCGTTCACTTTTGTTCTCCCTCTCTAATGTGGTGATAACAGCCTTGAAAGTTCTGAATCTCTTGGAGTCACACATAAAAATCTGGCCAGAGGACAGGCGAGGCCAAGATGGTGGAGTAGTCACATGCTTCCTGTGGTCCCTCTTACAACAAAGACCCAAAAAAACAAGTGTATTGATTATACATGATAGTCTAGGAACCCTGAACATCAAAGATAAAGTTGAGGAGTCGGACTGAGTAGCAGGGAGAGGGAGAGACAGTTTAGAAATAGTGAGGATTTGCCAGACCTGAACTGGCTGGCACCCTGCAGGCTGGATCAGCCAATACGTGCAGGCTGAGGCAAGCAGAAGCACTAGGAATGAGTTTTCCACACCGGGAGAAACTGAGCGGCAGAGAGTCTGCACAAGCTTCCAGAACCAGGGAATAGTGGCGCTGAATCTGCGAAAGTTAAGTGCAAGCGTCTAACCTACTACGTGGGATCAAAAAAACCCTTCCCTCCTCTGGGAAATACCTCTCTCCCATTTACCCACCCCCTCCCTGCTCTGATCCGGTCCCAGTCTGGCTTTAGTGATTGCCATGTCCCCAGGGCCAGAAGTGGTACCTGTCGCATGCCCTGAGCCATTCTCCTGTGTTTGGAGAGGGAACAAATTAACAAACAGGAAAAAATAATCTGCCAGCTCCCCTAAGCCAGGAACTCAGGGCAGGCACAGCCCCTTTGCCTAGGCACAGGCATAAGGGGTCCATGGAGTTTGAATGCCTTTCAGCCCTGCCTAGACCTGTATGGGCCCATTTCAACAGCATAGGTCCTCATTAGCACAGTACAACAGGGTATATACCTGAAGATTATTTTCCAGTGCAACAGCTAAGGCGGAGTGGCAGATTCGTGACATTCGACACCACCCTGCCCATTAAGCAGGGTCCTCACCTACCCACATCAGGGGCCTGAGGACTAGTGGCTCCACCCACTCCACCTAGCTACCTGCGACAGAGGTCTGAGAATAAGTGGTGCCTCGCCTCCCAGTCCTTACAGCCAACAGCATTGGGTGCCCAAAGTCCAACTGCAAAATCCACCCACCTACGTGCTCTAGCAAACAGGGACATGCCTTCCACCCCGGCACTCAGAGGCAGCCATCAGCCCCCTACCTTGCTGAGCACATAACCCCCTACTGCAGTCAGATACCTCTGCCTACACCAGTCACCCCTATGTAGTCCTGCCTGTCTAGGACTGTAGGTGAGAGCCTGCACCACACACTCGGTAACTGATGACCTGGACACCTGAGCTGAATCCACACAAGAAAAATAAACGGACTTCTGGTCTCACATACCTAGTAACAGCTCTAACCACCTGGTGACAGGACATGAGAGCTTCAGAGATGCTAATAAGGTAGCTCACACGACCAGCCTATTTGGGAATATCAAAACAAGAAGCTAGGACACCGTAAGCAAACATAAATAAATATAATAACTTATTAATAGCTTGGAGACAACAGTCAATATCAAATCACATGAAGAGGCAGACTGATGGCGTCAGCAAGCGACCAAAACAAACAACTAAGGAACCTCCTGGAGAAAGAGAAGGTCTTGGAATTACCAGAGATAGAATTCAAAAGATTAATATACAGAGCTCTTCAAGATATCAGGAAAGATATCAGTCAAAATGTAGACCAAGCCAAGGAACACACAGACAAAGCAATTTAACAGACTGCAAGAATCCACAGAGAAACAACAAACAAATCCAAAAGATTAACAATAAAATTTCAGAATTAGACAACTCAATAGAAAGTCATGGAAGCACAATGGAGGCAATAGAAGTCAGAATTAGTGAGACTGAAGGTAAAGCACTTGACACGAACTTATTTGAGGAAAATCAGATAAAAGAATTTTAAAAAATGAAGAAACCTTAAGAATTATATGGGACTGTATCAAGAGGAATAATCTATGAGTGATTGGAATACCAGAATGGGGGATAACAGAAAATACAGAGAGAATTGTTGAAGATTTGTTGGCAGAAAACTTCCCTAATATTGTGAAAGATGAGAAGATATCTATCCAAGAAGCTTATCGAACCCCACACAAGGTAGATCCCAAAAGAAAGTCACCAAGACATACTATTATCAAACGTGCCAAAACCAAAGAGAATTTTAAGAGTAGCTAGGGATAAATGAAAAGTCATCTACAAAAGAGAGTCAATAAGACTAAGCTCTGACTACTCAGCAGAAACCAATCAGGCAAGAGGGCCCATGGGATGACATATATAAAGCCTTGAAGGAAAAAAAATGCCAGCCAAGAATTATATATCCAGCAAAACTGTCTCTCAGATATGATGGTGAAATTAGGGCATTTCCAGATAAACAGAAGTTTAGGGAATTTGTAAAAACCAAACCAAAATTACAAGAAATACTAAGGGAGTCCTCTGGTTAGAAAATTAATAACATCAGATAACAACCTAAGACTAGAACACAGGACAGAACAACCAGATATCAGAAAAATAAATCAAAGCTAAAACACTGAAAGTAGGGAAACAGAACCATCAATATGTAAAAGATGAGAACATTAAAACAAAAAAGAGGGACTAATGTAGTCATAGAACTTTCATATGGAGACGAAGTCAAGGTAATATAAAGAACTAGAAGATTGGTTTAAACTTAGAAAAATTGAGGTAAATAATTAAGGTAACCACAAAGGAAACTAACAATCCTACACATACAAAATAAAAAAGAAGAAAAACATAAAGACTCAGCAAATACAAAATCGACAACAATGAAAAAGATGAAAATACATAAAAATGACTCAGCACAGAAAATTAAGTGGAACAAAGGAACTGTCAACAACACACAAAAAAATACATCAAAATGACAGCACAAAACTCATACCTATCAATAATTATGCTAAATGTAAATGGACTAAATGCACCAAAAAGAGTGGCAGAATGGATTAAAAAAACACAATCTGTCTATATGCTGCCTATGAGAGACACAACTTAGACTGAAAGAAAACTAAAAACTCGATGGAAAAAAATATATCAAGCAAACAACAATCAAACAAGAGCAGGAGGGCAATATTAATCTCTTACAAAACAGACTTGAAAGAAAAATCCACCACAAAGGATGAAGAAGCACACTATATAATGATTTAAGGGTCACTACACCAGGAGGACTTAACCATGATAAATATTTACGCACCAAAAGACAGGGCCCCAAAATACATAAAACAAACTAACAGCATTGAAAGGAGAAATAGCTCCACAATAATAGTAGGAGACTTCAACACACCACTTTTGGTGAAGGACAGAACATCCAGAAAGAAGCTCAGTAAAGACACGGAAGAGCTAAATACCACAGTCAGCCAACTTGATCTCATAGACATATACAGAACACTCCACCTGAAAGAAAGTATACTTTCTTTTCCAACACACATGGAAAATTCTCCAGAATAGACCACATATTAGGCCACAAAGCAAGCTTTAACGAATCTAAAACATTGAAATATTACAAAGCATCTTTTATGACCACAAAGCCATAAAAGTAGAAATCAATAACAGAAAAAGCAAGGGAAAAAAATCAAATACATGGAAACTGAACAACACCTTGCTCAAAAACTACTGGGTTATAGAAGAAATCAAGGATGGAATGAAGAAATTCACAGAATCAAATGAGAATGAAACACATCCTACCAGAATCTTTGGGACACAGCAAAAGCAGTGCTCAGAGGTCAATTTATAGCAATAAATGCACACATCCAAAAAGAAGAAAGGGCCAAAATCAAAACATTAACCCTAAAACTTGAACAAATAGAGCAGCAAAAGAAGACCACAGGCACCAGAAGAAAGGAAATAATAAAAATTAAAGCAGACTGACAGGGATCACAATAGAGGTTCCCAGATAGAGCTGGAGAAAAATGTAGCACAAAAATTCTAACTCTCAAAAAAAAAAAGACCAGACTTACTGGCCTGACAGACACTGGAGAAACCCCAAGAATATGGCCCCGATACCCTTTTAGCTCAGTAATGAAGTCATTCCCAAGGGTCACCCTTCAGCTAAAGATTAGACAGGTCCATAAAACAAAACAAGACTAAAGGGGCACAAAAGCCCAGGGACAAGGACTCGAAGGCAGGAAAGCTGGTAATAGGGAACCCAAGGTCGAGAAGGGAGAATGTTGATATGTCGTAGGGTTGTTAACCAATGTCATAAAACAATATGTGTACTAACTGTTTAATGAGAAACTAGTTCTGTAAACTTTCATCTAAAGTACAATTTAAAAAAAGAAAAAAATTGGAACAAATAAATAGAGAATAGAAAAACAAAGAGTTAAAAAGACCAAAAGCTGGTTCTTTGAAAAGATCAGCAAAATTGATTAACCACTGGCCAAAATGACAAAAGAAAAACAGGAGAGGAAACAAATAAATAAGAAATGAGATGGGCGATATCACAACAGACCCAACTGAAATTAAAAGAATCATAACAGAATATTATGAAAAATTATACTCCAACAAATTTGAAAACCTATAGGAAATGGACAAATTTCTAGAAAC